CCTGGCGTGGTCGTGGTGGTCCCCGGGATGTCCGTGGAGGTTCCTGAGGTGGAGGAGGTGGTCCCTGAGGTGGTCGTGGTGGCTGCTGGGGTGGTCGTGTTTGTCTCCGAGATGGTTGTTTGGGTCCCTGGGGTGCTTGTGGTGGTCCCTGAGGAGCTCATGGTGGTCTCTGAGGTGGAAGAGGTGGTACTCGAGGTGGTTGGGTTGGTCCCAGAGGTGCTCATGGTGGACCCTGGGGTGGTTGTGGAGGTTCCTGAGGTGGAGGAGGTGGTCACTGGTGTGGTCGTGGTGGTCTCTGAGGTGGAGAAGGTCTCTGAGGAGATCATGGAGGTCCCTGAGGAGGTCGTGGAGGTCCCTGAGGTGGTTGTTTTGGTCCCTGGGGTGCTGGTGGTGGTCTCTGGGATGGTCACAGTGGTCTCTGAGGTGGAGAAGGTCTCTGAGGAGGTTGTGGAGGTCCCTGAGTTGATCATGGAGGTCTCTTTGTCTCTGGTTGTCCCCACGACGGCGGCTGCAGGGGAGGGTTCAGGATGAGCAGAGACCCCCAAGGCCCTCCCCAGGTGGACACCCCAACCTTCACCTTCCTCCTCCTCCTCCACGATCTTCATCCTGGCCTTTGACCCATCCAGCGTCCCCCCCTCTCCTCCACCCTCCTTCATCTTCACCCTCCTCTTCCTCCTCCTTCTCCAAGACCTTCACCCAAGGTTTCTTCTCCCCTTCCAACCTCCTCCATCATCCCCACCTTCTTCTTCCTCCCCCTCCTCCTCCTCCCCAGACCATCACCACATGGACCCTGCCGCCATCTTCTCCACCTTCCTCCTCCTCCTCTTCCTCCTCCTCTTCCAAGACCTTCATCATTTGTTGATGTCCTTCATCCTCCCCCCGCTCTCTCAAACCTCTCCCACCCCAAGTTCTTCATCCTCCTCCTCCTCCTCCTCCTCCTCCTCCTCCAAGACCTTCAGATCTGAGCCCCTCAAACCTCCCCACCCCTGATTCCTCCTGTTCTTCATCATCTTCACCCTCCTCTTCTTCATCCCCCTCATCTTCACCCTCCTGTTCTTCCCCCTCTCCCTCCAGCCCCCTCAGCCGCCTGCCCCCTCCAACCTCTCCCCACCTTCCTCCTCCTCCTCCTCCTCCTCCTTCTCGCCCCCTGCTGTCCCCAACATCCCCAATGTCCTCGATGTCCCAATGTCCCCGTGTCCCCATGTCCCCTCACCAGCGATGGCGCAGGTCAGGACCACCAGGAGCTCCCCACTGTCCCCACTGTCCCCACTGTCCCCTCTGTCCCCAATGTCCCCAATGTCCCCAATGTCCCTGATGTCCCCGATGTCCCTGATGTCCCCGATGTCCCTGATGTCCCCAGTGTCCCCTCACTGTCCCCACTNTGTCCCCACGACGGCGGCTGCAGGGGAGGGTTCAGGATGAGCAGAGACCCCCAAGGCCCTCCCCAGGTGGACACCCCAACCTTCACCTTCCTCCTCCTCCTCCTCCACGATCTTCATCCTGACCTTTGACCCATCCAGCGTCCCCCCCTCTCCTCCACCCTCCTTCATCTTCACCCTCCTCTTCCTCCTCCTTCTCCAAGACCTTCACCCAAGGTTTCTTCTCCCCTTCCAACCTCCTCCATCATCCCCACCTTCTTCTTCCTCCCCCTCCTCCTCCTCCCCAGACCATCACCACATGGACCCTGCCGCCATCTTCTCCACCTTCCTCCTCCTCCTCTTCCTCCTCCTCTTCCAAGACCTTCATCATTTGTTGATGTCCTTCATCCTCCCCCCGCTCTCTCAAACCTCTCCCACCCCAAGTTCTTCATCCTCCTCCTCCTCCTCCTCCTCCTCCTCCTCCAAGACCTTCAGATCTGAGCCCCTCAAACCTCCCCACCCCTGATTCCTCCTGTTCTTCATCATCTTCACCCTCCTCTTCTTCATCCCCCTCATCTTCACCCTCCTGTTCTTCCCCCTCTCCCTCCAGCCCCCTCAGCCGCCTGCCCCCTCCAACCTCTCCCCACCTTCCTCCTCCTCCTCCTCCTCCTCCTTCTCGCCCCCTGCTGTCCCCAACATCCCCAATGTCCTCGATGTCCCAATGTCCCCGTGTCCCCATGTCCCCTCACCAGCGATGGCGCAGGTCAGGACCACCAGGAGCTCCCCACTGTCCCCACTGTCCCCACTGTCCCCTCTGTCCCCAATGTCCCCAATGTCCCCAATGTCCCTGATGTCCCCGATGTCCCTGATGTCCCCGATGTCCCTGATGTCCCCAGTGTCCCCTCACTGTCCCCACTATCCCTGTGTCCCTCTGTGCCCATGTCCCCGTGTCCCC